TCACTCTTTTTATAGTGTAGGATAAGGTATGGAATTTGATTATTTGTGGACACTAATATGAGAGCTCTTATATCCTGATCTGTTGAGATACATTCTACGATTTACCTCCTGCGCAATACTCTAAGGACGGGACGATGGTGACCCTCAAGATTGAGGTTCAACCTTTTTAGAATATCATAGCTTTGCATAATCCACCATCCACATCAAGAGGACGGCAACGAGGTGACACAGGGAGCGGGATACGTCAATCTACGCTGAGTTGATAGGTTTGGACTTCGGTTGGATCAGTGGGTTAGGGGGGGTGGTTTTGGGCAAATGGGTTGGGAACTTGGGCACAAAAAACAAAAGGCGGCCAGAAAATATAGAGGGATTCTTGGTTTGTCGTTTTCTATTTTGTAAACATCCGAAATTTGTTTGATGATATTTTTTCTGAAAATCCAAAAATAAGATTTAATTAGGCCTAGTTCGGGATTGATTAAAATCCAATTAAAATTGAAAATATGGCCGTTATTGGGCCCCACTCATCTAATAAAAGTCAACTCTAACGACTATATTTTCAATTTTAATCTGATNTGGATTTAGGCCTAGTTCGGGATTGATTAAAATCCAATTAAAATTGGAAATATGGCCGTTATTGGGACCCACTCGTCTAATAAAAGTCAACAATAACGGCTATATTTTCAATTTTAATCCGATTTTAATCTCTTCCATACAAGGCCTTAGTGTTCTAAAAAAGTGGTGTTTAGACACAAAGCGGGCGCAAATGTCCCTCACACTTTTTATTTTTTTGGCTCTTTTTTATTATTATTTGCTTTTTCTTTTCACGTTTAGGCACACTTTTTTTTCTTTTTTTTTTAATATAGTATTTTATAATTTTATGTTTCATAGGTATTATCTTAATTATTAAATGATTTTTAGATTGATTAAAAATTTAAAATAATATTAAAATAAAAAACTTTTTTTTTTTTTTTTACGTTTTTTATGTCTAGGCCTCCCCTAATTTGAAACTTGGCCTCCACACATTGCCACGGTTTACATTTTTTAAAATACAGTATAAGACTTTGAGTGTTTTATGTGTTTTAAAAGCAATCAAATTCCTTCTTCAAATGGAAAATCAAATCTACCAAAAGGGTAATTGCCGCAAATCAATCCCCAACCCTCATCCACCCATCTCCCTTCCATGCTACCGCTTCTATTACCTTCGTCGCTTTTCCACCATTGCCAATGTAGGGCCTCAAAATTGTAATCCAAGATATCACTTTTCTGAACCCAAAATCTTGTACATGTTGTCTGTTGGTTGTACTCACCACTCAATAGAAGGAAGTTAATTAGAATGAAGAAAAAATTCTTTATTCGGGCTTTATTGTTGCAAGAAAAAATCACTAGAAGATAAAGTCACTCATGCCACGGCCATCCACCCTTCCCGAGACTTTTACCACACGTTGAGAAAACATCATTCAATATCACGTATGAATGGCATGGAAAGGGGAGAGGAGGGGTGGTGAGTGGAAAGGAGATGTGAGGGGTTGGGTGGGCATTGAACAAGAATATGACTTTTTTATTTTTATTTTTCTTTCTTTTTTCTTTTTAATATGTTTTTTCACTTATTTAAAATTTGAGACAGATTATCTTTTTCGTGACGCGTGCTTTAACCGAATAAATGGATGGAATCAAATGAAAAGATCATTTGTGCTCAGAAATATCGATCTAAAGGTCCAAAAACCAAAAATGAAATGATAATGATTTGCGTAAAAAACTCAAAATGATAAAGACATTTTGGACCAATTATCCCAACCCAAATAATCCATCCTCCCTAGAAAAGGGTAATCCAATTCCCCTTCCCACCAATGACATATAACATATCGTTTACGAAGTAAGAAGTCTTTCATTAACAAAAGAAGGAGAATACGATATTTTAAGATGTGTCAAAATCAAATGAACATTAAGAAGTCATACAATTTGATGCTAATCAAATAGCTCAAATGGGACAAGTCGGGAATTAAATTGCGACACAAATGTGGATGACTAAGACACATACATGATTCTTTAGATTTGTTTATTTTTTTAAACTTTAAAATGTATATACTACTTGATAATATATTAAAATAAAATTGTTTTATTTTACTAAATAATCACATTCATTAAATAAAATATTATATAACCATGTTCAAAAACCATGTTCTCCAACTTCTTTTGAGAAAAGACGGGAAAAAAAAACCCCCGAATGACAAATCGAGCATGTTTACTACAATCTCAAAATAGAAAAAAATTCAAAACTCAAAATTGACACACAAATTAAACGATGCCTAAAATTTTGAATTTTCTTTTTCATATAAATGGACATTCTGATCGATCTCGTACTCACCCTGTCTCAAGATGGTGACTCCCATCCCCGAAATAGCTTCCACGCTATTGAAAATTTCCTCCCCATTCAAAGCTAGGCGCCAAGGAATCAAATCGTTCAAATTTTTATGCCATCTCGACATCTAATCGATCAAGCCATCTCGACGTTTAATCGATCAAGCGCAAAAGCAATTTGTATTTATTAGACTTGACAAGATATGCAAGATGAATAGAAATTTGAATTGAAATATTTTTTATGTATTTATTAGTTCTATTTTCATTAAGTTATTAATAAAACGGATTACCTATTATAGTCAATTTGTTCAAAAAAAGAAAAAAAAGTATTTAAGAAAGAAGCAATAAAAAGCATCAAAAGCTACCACTTTGTTCCACTTTAAAATCGAATCAAATCCATCCAAACAAACCCTTTCAATCCACCCTGTCTTCAGGCCCCATTACACCATAAATTGAAGTAAAAGAAAAACACAGCCTGATAAATATTAAATACTACATCCCATTAAATAAATAATATATTAATATTAATAAATTTTTTTTTTTTCAATTCAATACCAAATTCGATACGAATTTCAGATCCTATCGATTTTATCAGCCTTGATCACAGGGTTCGCCTTTGCAATTGCGTTTTTAGCCTCTCCCTTGAAATCAAAGTTACAATCATGCTTCTCCGGGTACCTGTGGGTCCCACAGAAGGTACAACCACATCTGCAGTTGAAACCCATAACCCCGACCTTCTTGTTGCAACTCCAGCATCTATTACTCCCCGCCGCCGCCGCCGCCTTTTCAACTGGTTTTTCTTTAACATCCGCCGGAGCCGCCTGTTCCGACGGGCCAACTTTATCTACTTGTTGAGGCGTGACGAACTTTTTCATGGCGGCTTTAGCCGACGCGGCGTTTTCTTCCTCCATGCGTGAATCTCTGTAGCACTTTGAGCAAAGACCCATCGTCGCCGCCGTGCCGAAGAAGCCGCAGCCGTTGGCGCAGAGAACCGGCTCCGACGGCTGGAAGCTGGTGCCGTCGTTCATCTTGTTACCTTCTGAAGAACCCATATCTTCGACTTTCGAATTACTTCGATTTTTTTTTTTTGAAATTTTTGATTCAAAATAGAGAGAAAGTCAGAAAGATGAACAATAAATTGTAGTTTACGCCTGCGTTTGATTGATTTATTCTACTGAATACAGTTTTGTGAAGTGACAGCCTGTTAAAAGACTATTTTACCCAGTGATTAATACTTGTCTAGGGGTCCTATTGACATTCCGTATAAACGGACCGACTTGTTTCGCACGTTTACTTGGCTGTTTACGGTAATTAAATAAGATTACCATTTTGGAAAGTATTTTCAAAAGACAAATTTACCCCCAAAAGTTGAGCAT